TTCATTTAGGCAATAAATATCAGTGTGTGGGATTAACCTGACAAACCTGTAGCCAGTGAGAAATGAATACTATGTAGGGTGTGCATCATTCTGTGCAATCCATAATTAATACCTGATTCTGCTAGAGCAGAAACCCCAGTTTGCTCAGGTGCCTCCACTTTTCTACCTTCTACCCTCCAAAAATCGTGGCTCCCCTAGGTGGCTTGCAAAGAACAAATAAAAAAGTGAGAAAATAACTTTCTGTGTGCATCCTCATTGCAAACAGAAGGAGGGGCTGTTGTTTGCTGTTTAGAGTCCCCAAGGCAGTTTGCCACAGCCAAGAGAAATATTTGCTACAGCTGTGATATGTTATGGGCTGTTGACTTTAATTGCTTTTCAAAATGTGAAGACAACTGTGATATTTGAAAGAGACGGGCGAGCTGCACTAATAAGCTCTGCTTTGAAGCAGATCTAGCTCACGCTGGGCCACACAGGCTTCTCTATAAAACTTTGCCAGTTCCTTGGGGAGCCAGGAGGGAGAGGATGGATCTCAGACATGCTCTACCCAGCCAAAGAAGTAAGCCAGATTAATAGTTTATTTGGAGAAGTATCAATAAAGGTCTATGCCCTTTCTTATAAGACCCTACAGTAAAAGTAGCTAGTGTTAACTGCAGAGCTACAGAGCTACTGCATTAACCTTGTTTTGAGCAAAAAGAACACTGAACATCAGTTTAAGCAGAAGTTATATGGTCCAAGTGAGAGCTACCTTGGGAATTAGTAGTTTACCACTTGCTGCAGGGATGGGGAGCCAGCAACGCATCTGTGTACGCAGAAGACTCAATAAGGTTCCTCAGACCTTTCAGAATGCTCAATTTTCAGGCTAATGTCTATCCTTACGCTTTTCCCAAAAGGTTTTAGACCCTGGTTCCAGCTGGTGATGTATGAAGCCAATTCATTACTTCCATCTACTGGGAAATCTATTGGGATTTTGACTCACCTATATGTGGGTTGAAGGTGCAGTGAGAGTGCTGATTACAGCTGGGTGGTCTTGAGTGATGGGAAGTGGTGCAATTCACTTCATCCATCCCCTCTAGTCCAAGTGCGTAGGCTTCATCCTGGGACTTGCATAGATTTGCATCCCCAAATATGGGGATTTCTTATTAAAAAGAGATGAGACAAATAAGGATGACTTGTCAGAGGTTCAGGACACATTGCCTCCGCAAAGCTGTACTCTTCAGGCCCCATGGAAAGCTTTTTTTTTTTTTTTTTTTTTCAGCTGTGAGCTAACCTAGCAACAAAATCAGATGAGACGTCAACAAAGGCAACTAGTGCAAACTGGCAGATTCAAACAGAATAAATGCAGCGAAACTACTGCTGTCATCCTGTTGCTCCCAGATAACCAGACACTTTACAGTTAGAGTAGATGTAAATAGGATTTTCAATCGCAGATCCCAGTTTCTACTTTTCCATGACATCTAGGAGTGACTTCCTTGTATGCAAGATGCTTAGCGCTAAGCACCCAAAGTTACATATTTGCTGGTAAGTACGAGTGGGCCACTAATATGGACTGGTTTTTAGACATGCTTGAGTTGTCAGTAATTTCCAAGCAGACTGTGGATCAGTACCTCTGGGAGAAAATATTTAAAAATCATTCTGCTTTCACATGCCAAATATTTATTCTTAGATGGCTGCCCCACTCACAAGTGCTGGCTCACTTCTTGTTCGACCTCTCAGAGACCTGTTTTCCTCCTCTGAATTACGCAAATAATGATATCTTTCCCTGTAATTTGGCAGAATAATAATATGCAAATACTATATACAATTAATTGCTGTCATCCTCACAAATCGGGAGTAAGCAAATCTTTAATTTCTAAAGATTTTGGCTTTTAAACTGCTTTAAAGAGAGATTGGACTGAAAAAAAAACCAACCCAAACACTTGCTGGTACACACCTTGCAGTAATTACAGCCAAAGCCATAGTCTTGCTAACATGAACGTTATCTGATAATAAAGAGGCATTTTGGATTCCTTTGCATAAACAACTACACACAGCTCTGAGCAAACAGAGACAAGTCCACGCTGGCACACTCCACCGCCCAGTCCCAGCTGCCTGTGAAGCAAGGGACTGTTGGCAAGCCCTGCCTGCCTGCGCCCTGAGCACTCCCCTGCCCCGGGGTGTGCCTGCCTGTGTGCAAACCCTGAGCTGATGCAGCTCGCCAGGAACCTGCTTCAGACTGCTGGGAGAAACAGCTGAGTAGCCGTGGCCTGCCTGCTTTTGCCCTAAGCCTTGGTCCTTGCCCAAGCTGTTACAGTATCACAAAAAGTCCCAAGTTAGAAGGGAACCACAAGGAGCATGGAGTCCAACTCCTGGCCCCAAACAGAACTACCCAAAAGTGGCACCCTGTGTCTGCGAGCACTGTTTAAACACGCCTTGAACTCCAGCACTCGGGCTGTGCTTGCTGCCCTGTGCAGCCTGTTCCGTGCCCACCACCTTCTGGTGCAGACCCTTTCCCTCACCCTCAGCTGCCCTCCCCTGACGCAGCTCCATGCCGTTCCCTCAGCCCTGTCGCTGTCACACACAGCAGAGCTCAGCGCTGCCCTCTGTTCACTGTGAGGAGCTGCAGCCATCATTCAGCTCAGCTCCTCTGCTGAGCACACCCAGGGACCTCACACACCTCACCCTCCGGACGCTCCGCCATCTTCGTAGCCATGCTTTGGATGCTCCCTAACAGCTTTCTGTCCTTCTCACACAGTGGCACAGACCCGCAGCACTGCTGGCCGCACAGCACAGCAGGACACCCCTCCCCTCGCCCGGTGGCAGTGCTGGGCCTGGTGCACCCCGAGGTGCGGGGCCCTATGGCTGCCAGGGCACGCTGCTGGCTCACATTCAACTTGCTGACAACGATAGCAGAGGTACGGAAGCCAGAGACCATGTCAGCAACAAGTCTGTGAACAAACTCAGACCTGCGGAGTTCCAGTCCTTCACTGCCTGATTTTTACCCTTCCAAAGGAAAATGAAGGCAGAAACAAAGCACTTCATGTCTAATGGATTTGTAAGGGTTTGTCAAAGAAAGAAGAGCAAGAAGTGAAAGGAGCAGCATTACCACTGCTGTAGTAATACATCATCCCATCTCACACTGGGAAGCATACAACCTTACATTACTACCATACAAGCACCAACCCAAGTGTTCTTACAAGTTTCATGTTCAGCACACGTGCAAGCTAAATAAATCACATGAGTTACCATGTTCAAAGGGAGAATGGTCTAAGAGGACCTTCATTTTAGCAAGTAGATAAACTTAGAAAGAGCTTATCTTTATCTTGGGTAAAAATTGAGTAATCCAAAATCAAAACTTGACAATATGAATGATATAACCCTAAACAAAATGTACGTTATTTCAGGCCCATGTGTTACTGTAATAAACTGAAATATTTTCAGCTGATGCACGACAATTTCTTAGATTTTCCATATCATTAGTTTTACTCTGATTTACTCATTCTCCAGATTTACACTTTTCTAGCACTCTTTGGTCATTGTGAGAAAAACATTTTATTTCCACCATCTTCTTCTATCTAGCCATAGTTGAATGATGTGACCAATTAAATACGGATTACACTGCATGGGGTTATTTCCACTATGTCTTCAGGTGGTGCCTGATAGCACTGTTTTTCTTACTACAAAATATTTTGGTTTCTTTGAAGAAGTTCAGTGACAGAGATGAAAACAAAGATTAAATTATCCAAACACAGATGCTCAAAAGCAGGCATAGAGGAAGTTCAATGTAAGGATCCTTGTAAATAAAGTAATGCTTTAATTTTATCAATTTAAAGGGGCGGTATGCACCTCAGATTTCATCCATGGCTACCAAAGAAAGCCATTTCGTAAAGTCCCATTTCTAAAAATGGTGAATTTTCACTCTTCAAACAGCGATGTGCTTTTTATTTCATCATTTGGAAAGGTGGTCCAGACCATTAGCTGTGATTGTCAGAGAACGCTTTTCCCTTCCAGCACAAACACACTCACAACCAGCTGAAACAGTCTGTACAAGCTGTTCCAGGGGTTCTCCTAAATGACACTTCCTGCATAAATAGCATCTACTGTGCAAACGTCGATGAACCAGGTACATTTTTTCCATCCAGTATCTTTGTGTCCTAAAATGCTTCTTCAAATCTCTTCAAACAGCAATTTACCATCTACTCATTCAGTGGCCAACACCACAGAATCTCATCTATGCATACCCTCCTTTACTATTTTTATTTTCCAGGATCCTCTGGTCCTATCTTTGCATGTATTTTTATCTTTTCTTTCCTGAGAAAGCTGTTTCCTCCATACAGTATAGGCAGATTTACCAGCTGTGTTTAATGGAAGAAAGTCTCCTTTAGCCATTAGATATATGTTGGGCCTCTGGCTTCCCCTCCTGCAGAAGTCTGTGGATAGCATAGCACACGAACAGAATTCATCTGAGGAAGGGACTTTCAGCTCAACAGATTGACACTTGTTGAACCTGAGAAAAATGGGAAGCTATTTCTGACTATTAACTGAATTTGTATTTACCTGCATCAAGAGGTCCAATTAAAAGATGGTTATTCAGGGAGTTAATTTTAATAAATTCGGTGGTCACTGAAAACAATCTTTCTGCAAAACACTGCAATTATCTTAAGGATAGGCAAACATTAAATTACTTGATGGAGCGTTTTAAGTAATCCGACAGCAGAAAAGGTGCCAACAGTCAGCGTTTGGGTTAGGGCAAAGATGGCAGTATAATTTAGCTTTAGAAGTCATGAATCAAGTTCTTGTCAAGGCATAAAACTGGCTTCTAAAGTAAAGTTTGTGTGTTGTCATGGTTAAAGAAGAGATGGGAAACAGTACTGATCACCTTTCTGTTACCAGACAGGTCAAAAAGCAGGATGCTGAACTGGATGGATTAAATACTACCACCTGTAATTATGTTCCTGAAGGCATGTGGAATATATAGTTGCCTTAACAGATTCTCTAAAAAGCTAGATCTTTATTACCTGGTAAACTTGAGAAGCTGTGACATATACAACTAATTAGCTGTGAATTTCCCAGTTGATTGAAAGCAGGTTTTTTAATTAGCTTCTCAGTGTTCCTTCATTCTTGTCTTAACCTGAAGGAAAGGGAAAGCCCAATGACACATAAGAGAGCATGAAAACAGGCACCACAGAAAGCACAGCATTGCTTAATGAATCGGGAAAGAAATGAGGATACTCTGTCTTACAGATTTTTGCAAGGCCCTTCCTGCAGCACTACTTAGAGATGTGCACTTTCCTTGCTTTTCCAGTTATCAGGCAAAATATAACCAAGGAATAAATTCAAACAGGAAGATGATGACAGTAATTTTAGTGCTCACTTTTTGTATCTGAACAGGATCTGTGTCCCCCTGCTTTGTCTAACTGTAAGTTATATTCTCACTTATAGATTCTGCAAACCAGATTTAAGATGACTGTATGCATTCCCACTTAAAGTTGCAGCAGCTTCACTGAACAGATTCAGCATTCAGCTGAACTAGCTATATCTCCCTGCTTACTCATCTTCTCCAATACAGATATCCTATGATGAAATAAAACACCATAAATGTAAAATAATGGAATACAGTAAATATGTTCTTCGCTTATCCACATCTGAAGGCACCTTCTGCAGTAGGAAAAGAACAAAAGGATTGAAAAATACCCTCATATTTTGTAATGTATTCTAAAATGTTTGTGACTCACTAACTTTAAGGGTATGAGCCACAGGTGGCAGATCAAATAGCATGGTTGCTGGCTTTCCTTGTCAAAGGCAGATATGGTAAGAAAAATAACTTACACTATGGTGGCTTCTGAATGCAGCCCATGTTTTAGCAGCCTGTAACCTTTTACTTGTTCTAAAGGAAGATTCTAATGCTCTCCACAAATACAAGGACTGAGAGCAGGTGTTAGGATAAATTAATTAAGTAAATATAATAGTAAGTAGCTGATCAGTTGAGCTCAGAGATTGTGGTTTCTCTAGTCACTTACTCAAGCTACTGTTGGTAATGAAACTGGAATGCAATATCACATAGCAAGTGAATCAGTGCACACACATTCACCTTCATGCTGACAGCACAAAGGTGCTAGCCTGCAGCCAGGGTTTCTTGGTCTCTGCAGAAGAAAAGGAATCATCCACTGGTTTTCTGATTAGAGATAATCTTCCTCTGTAACATTCAGGCCCAAATCTCAAATTCAGATCCAAAGCACAAAGTGTTGATGTACCCGAGTCCCATTTTCTCAATTCCATTAACAATAGCATTCAGGAATAGATTTGGATGAGATTACCTGCACCACCAATTTTCTTTCCAGCAGAGTGGGAATGAGAGCAGACCTGGTCTTCTGGTTGGTTTCTATTCAAAGAACAAACATAGCTGGCATGTTATCAAGCATTCAGTAAATTATCATCTAGTGCCATCTCTACATTCATAAAGCTTTCCTGAAGATGCACTTGAAATATGCCCATCTTCCCATCTGCAGCAATTAGCTCCTTAAGGGTTAAATACTACTTAGGAGAGGAAGGAGATAAGTCATCCTATAAAGGAAGCCTTTAATCAGCAATAAAGAAAGAAAGATCCATCCTGTTGAAAACAGTGTGAAAGGAAACATGGAACCATTTCCTCCAAAAACCACACGCTCACCACGCTATTCATTCCCAGGGCAAACACCTAAGCTATAGGAGGATAGTAACAGTCATGTTACAAAGTGAGATCAGCTCCTATTCTTTCCTAGTGAAATTGTGCTAAAACTTGCTAGGAACCAAACTGAAGACAAAGGAAAATATTTGAAAAGCCTTGAAAGAATTTCCAAAGATGCACTTGCATGCTGGTGGGTTTTTTTTTTCCCCAGCTCGTGCCATATGTATTTATGCAACAGACAGCAGAAACATATTCAAGCAAGATATCGCCAGATCTACCTGTTATCTTTGTGAGCAGTGCCGGGGAACTGAGCAAGAAACATACTGAGAACTTTTTGGGGGAAAGGCTTTCTTGCTGTTTAATGAGCCTACCCTGAACGGTTTGTTTAAGAGCCCATGGCTGCAGAAGTTAGAAAGCCTCAGGAAGGGAAGGACACCTAGTAACTTAGGGTTTGGCAAATTCACCTCCCGAATGTTGCTGGCTGCCAAGAAAATTCATTTTGACTCACATGCATTTTGACTCACATGCAGTTGTATGTATTGTTCTATGAAAGGATATGAATGGGTGGCCCTTAAAATCAGCTAAAAATTTCCAGCCGTTATAGTAGATTTCTATCTGGCCTGAAGAATCATTCCTGTTTGCAGAGGACACCTCCTTCAGCTCCCTGAAAGCCACTTGACCAAAAAAGCTCAGGCAGTGGCCCGGCCTGCCTGGGAAAAACGCAGCAGAAGCACGGGAACGGAGGTGACCTGATAATGTGTCAGCAAGGAGTGGCAGGACTGAAAAAGACAGCACAGAGGCCAAGTGGAATACAGGCATATAATCAAAGGCCAGCTTGATACATCAGTTCTGCCTCGCAGAGCTTTTTTTAATTCTGTGCAGCAGGAGCCTGGAGGAAACACCGCTTTACTTCCTGCTGCTACTGCTCTACAACTGACAATGCTGTTGAAAAAGATCACTGAGTTACTTCCAAAAATGTGATCCCTTACTTGCTCCCTTAATTGCTAACTTCTGAATTGTTTCAGAAACTTCCTGAGCTGAAAACTTCCAGAGGTGTTGTCAAAAAGATTTACCAAAGGAACAAAAACAAGCCTTAGAAATGGAGAAGCTCAGGCTCTCTTCTCTTAAAAACACCTTTCACAGAATCACAGAATCATGAATTTGGAAAAGACCTGCAAGATCATCTAGTCCAACCACCCTCCCATTCCTATTAGTACCACATGCACTAAACCATCTCTCGTAGCTCCTCATCCAGGCACCTCTTGAACACTACCAGGGACGGCGACTCCACCACCTCCCTGGGCAGCCATTCCAGTGCCTGACCACCCTTTGAGAGAAAAAGTTTCTCCTAATATCCAACTTAAACCTCCTCTGGTATAACTTCTGGCCGTTTCCTCGGGTCCTACTATTTGCCTGGGAGAAGAGGCCAGACCCTTTTGCACCACAACCTCCCTTCAGGAAGTTGTAGAGTGCAGTGAGGTCTCCCCTGAGCCTCCTCTTCTCCAGACTGAACAATCCCAGCTCCCTCAGCTGCTCCTCGTAAGACTTGTGCTCCAGACCCCTCACCAGTTTCGTTGCCCTTCTCTGGACATGTTCCAGGGCCTCAATATCTTTCTTGTAGTGAGGGACCCAAAACTGAACACAGTACTCGAGGTGCAGACTCACCTTTGGCTCTGTACACCTAAAACATCCTGAGTCTTAGACAGCTGCATGCTCTTAACAATCATTACTCAACCTACACAGCACACCTAGGTGATAACTAAGCTTTATTTACTTGTATGCCTGCTAAATGGATATGAGCAATGAGAAATCAAAAATTTCTGGTTTACCTAAAGCAACAAACAAAATGGTGGCAAACAATTGGGATCTAGTTGATAATATTTGCCTTTTTTGCTACAAGTGACTCTCTTAGGTAAACTAGCAGAACTTTTCAACTCTGTATCCAAAACCAAATCCTTTCATTCCACATGCATGGGAACTTCCCATTCTGCACTGGGAAATCACAGGTTTCCTGTCATTAAAAAAATCAAACTGCTATGTTTTAAAAAAGCTGTCTACTTGTCACAAGTTTCTGCCTCCATTAGTTTCATGCTTTAAATAAAACTTTAAAAATCACATCCGGCTAGGATATGTTTCTTTCATTTGATAACTTATCACTTTCCCCAGAGTTCATGCTCCAGCTTTTGACATCTGCCTACAGAAGGACTCAGGTATGCTGACTATATTTAAAAGGGAGAAGAGAGAAATGGCCGAGACTGTATTCACAGGAGATAGGATTGCAGCCCAGAGCTCCAGCTATTATAAAGCACAGGTCAAAGAGGTGTCAGATCTGCATCCTCTCAGAAGACAGATCAGAAAAAAAAGACTTAAAGCCCTTCTCTCTTACCAACATGGGCAGGAGGAAAAGGACTGCTCACATCTGAAGCCCAGAAGCATTACTGCTCTTTAAAAGTGACAGCTCTCAGACTAATTTTTTTGCTGAGGATTTGCAGCTTGTTTTAATGTCCCCACAGACTATTTGGCAGCAGCACAAAGGTTTCTTCAAACAGCTGTGGGATATTACTGAGCAGTTCATACTGCTAGCAGTGCTGTAATTCCCTAACCGCTGTGTAATTAAGGGCTTTATTGAGGTCCAGTGACATTTCTACGTATTTGAAGTGGTGCACCTTGTTTCTTAGATCTGACTGACACAAACCAAGAAAAAAAAGTGTGATTTCCATCCAAACCTTGGTCTGCGAAGACAGATTCTTTTACAGTGCTTCATACTTTCTGAGGCTGCAGTCCATCCTTAACTTCTTCCACTTGCCCACCCCTTGGGACATAACAATTCTCTAAATTTACTTTTAGTCACTATCAGAGCCCCAGCATTCAGTCTCGAGACTTGGCACTGAAAGAACAGAGCAGCTAAACATTGAGCCTTTTGTTCTCATCTCCCAGTGAAAAGAGAATGAAATTCCTGAGTGGATGATGTGATCTTACTCGATCATCGTTTATAATTTCTTCCTTTGTTTCCTGCCCATGGATTTCCCTGGGAAAGAAACAAAGAAGCTTTCCCTGCTTGCTGTGTGATTTCCCTGCTCTTCTGCTGACTAGCCAAATGTTCGGTGCTGACTGGTGATAACATTATACTCTATGGAAAAGGCAAAGGGGAAATGATCTGTCAGCACTCAAATAATAAAAATTGCATTGGCCACATTTCACTGCTGATGACTACTTTGTACTTCTACCTTTACAGAGACATTTTCACTCTCAAAAATCATGCAGACATTGTAAAATACAAGCAGGAATTAAAAGCTGACTCTATCAACTTCAGTTATGCGGGTGCTTCATGAAAGTACAAACTAAATGACAGGATGACACATAGAGATGTCTGCAGAAGTACGCACAAATCTTCTGCTGTAAGTAGAGACTGCATTTAGTGAGTGCACTGTCTACATTGTCTGCAAGATGGGAACTCTTTCCTGTAAAATAGGTGTCAAGAGGACTGTTATAAATTTTAAACAACTTGAGTGATAAACACAGGTCAACTTCAGATGCCCAGCTTTTTGTTGAAGTGTCATTGTGTGCTTCCTTCCCAGCAACGTAAAGACGTGAGAAACACTTGAGAAGCTTTCAGCCCTTTGCAGTTTTCCTGTTCATCGCTATCTGTTCCCTTCATGTATAGATGTTTTCTAAAATATATTTTGAAATAAGCAGACAGAAAGATGAAATACTGTCTAAATGGATTTTATATGGGTCTCCCCCAAATCTCCACATAGATTTAAAAAAAAAAAAAAAATGAAGAAGAAGGAAAAACATGTTGTAGTCAGGTACTATCATATACAGTAGAATTTACAATATAAAAGCAATATTCTGAACAAGCACGGGCATTACAGCTTGCTGATAGAGTGGAAGCTACAGATTGATTTTACTATAGTGACTAAAACCCCTTGAGGCCTGATGTAATTTAACCTGTTTTTCTTAAGGAAGTATATTCAATGTAGGTTTCGGCAACATGATTTGTTTTTCACACATCATGAATTCAGCAGCCAAAGATCCTGCCTTTTCTCACACATAGGAAATAAACCATGTGATTTTCCACGTGAGATTTTCCCTTCAATAGAAGACTAAAAACAAACAAAACAAAGGAACAAAACAAAACAACAACAACAAACAAACAAAAAAACAATAGAGCAAAACCTGATTTAATCTTAGTTGAAAACACGATGCTTGGTAGAATAATCATTCTTATGGGAATTGAAATGAAACAGCAACTTTGATATTTTGAGGTGGGTGGGATTTTCCATATCCATTGTATCTGCAATTTCAAGGGATTTTCATAATAATAAATGCCCACACTGACCAGGATTACTTAACAAACCATGCCACTTATTACTTCTTGTCTGTCTGACCTATAAAGGAGGTAGGGTATGAAAGACACAGGGCTGAGACTCATGGCGTTCCCAGAAAATACATTTCTCTCACAGGTGCCCTGCAAGACATCAGGTAAGACAGTGTTGACTCACTGCAAAATCTAATTCTAGATTGGGCTTATGCCTCACCTCTCTGTCCATGGAAATAAGATTTTTTGGAACAGAAATCCTCCAGGGCAGGGATGATGAGTTAGCAAGTATGCGTAAATTCTCTGACTGGTTGCACACTTCATTTCATCGCTGACTTTTAGTCAAAATATTGAAGGCGATGCAAGAGATGATAAACTTAGTTGTAGCTTCCCT